TAGCAGAACTGTGCTAACAGGATATTTTGATGTGCTGTACACAATCAATCTGAAGTTAGTTGTCTAAAAATGCTGAATAATGACAGTACTTAACAATTATTTTAGCATCATGAATACCCTTTCGTTTTACTTCTTTGTTTTTCACAAGGAACTTATGTTTTGACTTCAAGAAGTTGCAGTTAGTATGTAAAGATAACTGAAGTAACTGTTATATAATAGAAATATTTTGTTATGGATCAGTTACGAAACAAACAAGAAACCCATCCTAGAAAGATGGTGAACTGATAATTATCTACTACTTATTTATATTAGGGCAAATGGAGCCCCTTTTCTGACAGGAGAGAGACTTAATAAGCACTAATGTCTTATAGTCTAGTCGTCACAGCGTTGAGTTCTCAACTAGAGATAGAGAAATCGAATTCTTAAAAAACAGAAACTTCCACACTTTTGTGCAAAGCAGTCACATGAAACAGAAAAGTGATTACCTGGGGACTGACTTACTTGCCGTACTTCTTAACGTCTGAGACACAAGTGACACCATTCTATCCCTTGTGTTAGGTGATACAATATGATCAGTAATAATAAATAATGGTAATAGCTTTATTTTGAATAGTGTTTATATAATTTACAGAATTTTCAGCTGAGTTTATTTCATAATATCTTCTCTTCGCCCAGGATCTTCAAATAAAAGATTAATTGATAGTAGGTCGTGTGACATAGTTCTCTCTGACCTGAAGGGGCAAGCTAATCCATTATGATATATCCTATTTGCCTCCTTAGAGAAATACAAGACATTTTGTTGCTGAATAAGTTCAGGAGCACCTTTTGTGAACCAAGGACACCATTCAGGAACGGTCATCTCATATATTAAGATAAGCTGCCATCGAGTATAATGCCTTTTCTCAGGTTTAGTAGGAACTTACGAATTAGAATATTGTATATGTTTTAAATACTTGCCATAGTAAACAACCTTACTATAGGTCAAATTTTACTAGATCTAAACAAACTTATCAAGAGAAATTACGTGCAATATATTGATGGAGGGTTCTGGTGGTCGAAGTTTTAAGCAGGCCGCCAACAGTGTTAGCTGATATAGGATTAAACTGGATAAGAGTGAAAAGGAGCTCAGACTAAAACGCAACACCATTCCATGAAGTCTCTAAATGTTAGTTTAAGGCCCATACGAATGTGTAGACCACCTGGCTGAAGTCTCAGTAAGAATACCATCATCAAGTGGAGATCAATTACATCCAATTGACGAGTCCAAAACACGACGAAGTACGCATATTGGATACCACTGTTGGCCACCATCAAACACGACATTCCTCGACTTGATTCGAATTTTCTACGAAAACTAACATGCTAAGTAAGACCTCCCTCCTAGAGTAGAAAAGTTGCAAAAAATGACTATAACAATAAATTTTAATCTATTGACATATTTATTAGGTGACATTTTGTATCAATAATGTTTACAACTATTTGACATCATAACACGTGTAAGAATAAAAGTAGGAAATAAGTTATTTCACTTTATAAAATGAGGAAGTAGACAAGGAAAGATATTTAATGTAAAAAAAAATACTTAATCAATGTAAATAAGGCTAGAAACATAACTCAAAGTTATGTCATGTATATATAATGAGATAGTAAATATAAAGGAAATTGCGCTCACGAAATTTGGAAAGACCATAACAAAATTCATACTTACTATTATTAGCACTCCTAGTAGTGACGATAAACGAGTTAATGATGCATAACTTTCAAAGGAAAATATACAAGTTAAGTATTTTGTTTGCTTTTCTCATGGAAATGACATTATAAACAGTAGTATGCAAAATAAACAAATGGATATTGAGAAAAAGAAAAAAAATATTAAACAGATAACTATTTTACATCGAATGAGTAAATAATGGTGTAGTGAGAATCTTATCTATTAGCCAGTGTACAAAGTGGAAATGGAAGGTCGGAAACAAAAATAGGTCTCCTCAATATGTCAGTATGGTGAAAAGAACGGAGATATCACATGGATAACTTCATATATACATATGCATGAGCATACACATGTAAAACATTCGTTTCTACTATACACAGCCATTCTCTTCTGATTCATATACAGTGCTTACAGTTACTCACATATTTTGTATAATATATTACGCAAAATTGATGTAAAATGATAGGATAGGAAACAACAATGTGGATATAATGTACACACATTTCACTATCATAATATTTAATTGGTGGATGGTGACTAGCAGTGGAATCCAGGATGCGCATTTCGTCCTATTCGGGACTCGTCAACTGGATGTACCTGCATTTCTCAGTGAGTGATGATGTTCCCACCGAGGCTCGAACCCAGTGCCCATGGTCTCAAACGCCAAAGCGTTATCCACGAGACCACTTGGGCCACGAGAGCCACCTCTTGTGCGACGGGTCATATTGATTTAATTGAATTTTAGATTTTCCCGTCGATTGATTGGACCGAATTGCTCGGTCTCAGGTTGACATGTCGTCTTTTTAGGCAGAATCTGCCAGCAACCTGAGAAATGGCTACCACATCCAAGGACGGCAGCAGGCGCGAAAATTACCCACTCCCGGCACGGGAAGGTAGTGACGAAAAATACGAATACGGGACTCAAATGAGGCTCCGTAATTCGAATGAGTACAATTTAAATCCTTTAACGAGGACCAATTGGAGGGCAAGTCTGGTGACAGCAGCCGCGGTAACTCCAGCTCCAAAAGCGTATATTAAGCTGTTTCTGTCCTGAAACTTTGAGGTGACTCATTGAGAAGCAGCTCCTAGCATGTTGGGTTCACTAAAACATTCATCATTGAGTAGTACTGGTCAAATATGTCGTGACTCCTTAAACCTTTTTAGTTGAGTGTTTATAGTAGGAAACGCGGTAACCCGCTTCTAATGTCGTGGACTAAATGATTGCATACCACCGGTAAAATACCTCCTAGATGTTATTTTTTGAATAATTACCACTACTTTTAGAGGCTTCATCACTGTTTTATTAAGAATGCTACGTAGGGTTTCATTTGTCCTTTTCTTATCGGGCAACACTGTGGATACCCTTGTTTATTTATTCATAGAGATATATGTGTAGATCAAATTAACTTTCGGGTTAGGAAATCAACCAGGAGAATAACTTATAATTTGTATGGGGTGGCATTCAAAACTAGGAACTAAAAGATAAACCTTTAATTTAGAGGACCTTATTGACCCAATTAGACAAAACAATCCATCGCCATCGAAGTCGACAGACAGGAAACTCATTTGGTTTTATTCTACATTGTGAATACCTCCAGAAATCAACATAGTAGCAATACAGTTTTAAAAAGTAGTTACTTTTAACTGCTTCATTATGAATGCCAGCTAAAATATATCGGTTTGTCGTTTCAATGAAATTGAAAATGCTTGTAATAACCAAAACCCAAATATTTCAGTCTGAACGCAAGAAACCAATCGACGCGTTCTTCTGTTTTTTTTTTCCTGAGAGTAATTCTACTCCTACAATATTAGAAACACATCTTAACTTGGTGGAATCTGTAGCGCTATTTGACGCTAGTAACTCCAAGTGGAAATGCAAAATTACCTCAACAGTGTCTTCTGGCAGTTATACAGCTCAAAAGTTTTTTGGGTACAAAATTAATTTACTGAGCACAATAGTGAACTGCCTGAGAACCAGTAAGAATATTTCCAACAAGGTGAGATCAAAGCTCTGCCTGCAAGAGCCAAGAAGAAGAAAACGCTCTTCGCACAGATAGTCCAATATCAGACAGTCACTCTATGGCGTAACCTTGAATTCATTCAAACAAAATCTCGATCGTATAACAGCACATTAATGTCAACATCATCACACAACAGCAAAGTGAAGCATCAAAAATACGGATCAACCAAAACATAGATAGATAAGAATGATTAAATCAACAGAATAAATGCAAATGTGAGGAAAATAATATACAGGTCAGAAGAAAAGGGTAGTAATCAGGCGATTGGTTGAAATATTCAAATAAGTATCAGTAATGTAGATAAATTGTTCATGGGAGAATTTTCAAATTAATTACTGTGCGGCAGATGTCAGTCAAATTAAAAATCATCTCTTTTTGCACTTAAGGTGAAATGTTTCAATGGAGTAAATTTTCTTTAGCAGAATACCTGAGATAGCGCTGATATCTTCGACGTATACTAACGTAGCTGAATTGTGATTGCAGGTTGAACAGAAACTCGACATTTAGTACAGTTAGTACCAACGGTTTCTGGGTTATCAGTTCAGTGTTTCATCCAATCAATTTTTAAGATCTCAGCTGCACGTAGATTACTGAGATTTTCCGTCACCGTTGTGTAAGGTAGTAGTGCATAACTGCTCGATGTAAAACTAGAAAACTGTAAGTGTTTATTTCGAATCCTTACCCTATTTAGGTTTTCACTGCATTTCTATTCTCAAAGCTACTAATACATTACAGAGATTAGTTCATCAAATGTTTCAAGAGTACTGTTTTTATTTTTGAAGTTATTATGCACCTCACATTATTTATTAATTTTTTGTTTGAATTTTCTTTATCGTGCCGATTTATCATCGTGGAGGATAAATAATACTGCGATTAGTACTAAGACTAACAGTTACAACAGTTATGATACAAAGTTGCACAACAGTGTTCGTTCTGTTAAACTGTGTAACAATTCAAAGGCGTCAGGCAACTCTTGTTCAATCAAAAGGTATTCAGATATTCTCCCAACCTTAACACAAAATAAACAAATATCAGTAATTGATAATCGTGCACACAGAATAACATCATTTAGAAATTCTGACCATGATCAGAAGTCTAAACATACAGCTATGCAAGAACCTGCAAAGGGGAATATTTCTGTCCCATCTTCTGTAGATGATTTACGGTTGGAAACACTAGTTTCATCTTTGTAACAGCAGCAAGAACCACAACAAACAGAACAACAGCAATCAAATCACTTAGAATTAGATGTTTTTAAACAGCAGCGAATGCTGTTACAGCAATATCAAGAACAACAACGGCAGCTACAACAACAGCAACTACAACAGTTAACTCATCACAGTTTAGCGTTATCTTCCAGTCCACGTGTACAACGTCGACCAGCTTCTTTTTATTTAAGTCGAAGTATAGATGAATTTATCAAGCATCTTATTCCAGAACCTGGTGAAGAAGAGGGACAAGACGATGAGAAGGATGAAGAGGAGGAGGAAGAAGATTATGAAAAAGGGGAAGAAGGGTGCAAAAAAGAGAAAAAAGAACATTTTAACAGTCATAGGAAACGTATTCATGAGAAATTAGAACAGAAAATTTAAGTGAATCTAATATGGTATTAGTTGAAAGTCACTCGTGAAAAAAGGATCATTTTTCAAGCTTATCCATTACATTTATATACACATAAACACACACCTTGCTCAGTTATTCCGTATGAAACATACTTTGACATAAGATAATGAAATCTGTGTACATTATATCCACATTACTGTTTCATATCCTATCATTTTACATCAATTTTGCGTAATATATTATACAAAATATGTGAGTAACTGTAAGCACTGTATATGAATCAGAAGAGAATGGCTGTGTATAGTAGAAACGAATGTTTTACATGTGTATGCTCATGCATATGTATATATGAAGTTATCCATGTGATATCTCCGTTCTTTTCACCATACTGACATATTGAGGAGACCTATTTTTGTTTCCGACCTTCCATTTCCACTTTGTACACTGGCTAATAGATAAGATTCTCACTACACCATTATTTACTCATTCGATGTAAAATAGTTATCTGTTTAATATTTTTTTCTTTTTCTCAATATCCATTTGTTTATTTTGCATACTACTGTTTATAATGTCATTTTCATGAGCATAATTTTGTTTATATTCACTATCTCATTATATATATATGATATAATTTTGAGTTATGTTTCTAGCCTTATTTACATTGATGAAGTATTATATTTTACATTGAATATCTTTCCTTGTCTACTTCATTATTTCATAAATTGAAGGGAGTTCTTACTTAGCATGTTAGTTTTCGTAGAAAATTCGAATCAAGTCGAGGAATGTCGTGTTTGATGGTGGCCAACAGTGGTATCCAATATGCGTACTTCGTCGTGTTTTGGACTCGTCAATTGGATGTAATTGATCTCCACTTGATGATGGTATTCTTACTGAGACTTCAGCCAGGTGGTCTACACATTCGTATGGGCCTTAAACTAACATTTAGAGACTTCATGGAATGGTGTTGCGTTTTAGTCTGAGCTCCTTTTCCCTCTTATCCAGTTTAATCCTATATCAGCTAACACTGTTGGCGGCCTGCTTAAAACTTCGACCACCAGAACCCTCCATCAATATATTGCACGTAATTTCTCTTGATAAGTTTGTTTAGATCTAGTAAAATTTGACCTATAGTAAGGTTGTTTACTATGGCAAGTATTTAAAACATATACAATATTCTAATTCGTAAGTTCCTACTAAACCTGAGAAAAGGCATTATACTCGATGGCAGCTTATCTTAATATATGAGATGACCGTTCCTGAATGGTGTCCTTGGTTCACAAAAGGTGCTCCTGAACTTATTCAGCAACAAAATGTCTTGTATTTCTCTAAGGAGGCAAATAGGATATATCATAATGGATTAGCTTGCCCCTTCAGGTCAGAGAGAACTATGTCACACGACCTACTATCAATTAATCTTTTATTTGAAGATCCTGGGCGAAGAGAAGATATTATGAAATAAACTCAGCTGAAAATTCTGTAAATTATATAAACACTATTCAAAATAAAGCTATTACCATTATTTATTATTACTGATCATATTGTATCACCTAACACAAGGGATAGAATGGTGTCACTTGTGTCTCAGACGTTAAGAAGTATGGCAAGTAAGTCAGTCCCCAGGTAATCACTTTTCTGTTTCATGTGACTGCTTTGCACAAAAGTGTGGAAGTTTCTGTTTTTTAAGAATTCGATTTCTCTATCTCTAGTTGAGAACTCAACGCTGTGACGACTAGACTATAAGACATTAGTGCTTATTAAGTCTCTCTCCTGTCAGAAAAGGGGCTCCATTTGCCCTAATATAAATAAGTAGTAGATAATTATCAGTTCACCATCTTTCTAGGATGGGTTTCTTGTTTGTTTCGTAACTGATCCATAACAAAATATTTCTATTATATAACAGTTACTTCAGTTATCTTTACATACTAACTGCAACTTCTTGAAGTCAAAACATAAGTTCCTTGTGAAAAACAAAGAAGTAAAACGAAAGGGTATTCATGATGCTAAAATAATTGTTAAGTACTGTCATTATTCAGCATTTTTAGACAACTAACTTCAGATTGATTGTGTACAGCACATCAAAATATCCTGTTAGCACAGTTCTGCTATCACATTCGGTGACTGGCTAAAAGATTTGTCAGTCATATAAACCTTTTGTATTTTAATAGTTTTATTAGATATTATAATTGATTGGTAACAGGATTTCATCATGAGCGGATATTGAGAACCATTGGAAAACTTGCAGGGAGTACTGGACAGCCAACTGTTTCGTCCTTATTCAGGACTCTTCATCAGTATACACACCGCCAGGGTTCGAACCCAGGACCTTGTGGTTACAAGGCGAGCTCGTAGACCATTAAGCCACTAGGACCCGATCCAATGGCCAGCGGATGAATTCCAACTTCTACCAATTCATGACATAGCGCGACCGCTAGCCAATGTCTTCGGCGAGTATTTGTCCTCACACCCGACCTGCTGCACCCTACTGGTCATAACTTCCCACTAGAACCCCAGGTAACTACCTGCCTGAATAGGGCCAGTCGCTAGGACGAAACAGCTGCCCAGTACTCCCAGGGATTCTAATGGTTCTCTAACCAATATCAGCTCATGATGAAATCCTGCAACCAATCAGTCAAATCCCTACAAACCAATACTTGATCATAATTGATTTTTTATACGTGAATTCATAAAAATCAGTCATATTTCCTCCATGAAACACCATACTCTAGGTTTTCCTCGCTCTCTAGCAAATTCAAATCACTGTTCAGTGAGTCAGTTTTACCCGGTACTCATAGACTGATATTTTCGTGTTGTTGCATTTCCTTATTTGAATTATTCTCTATTTTGGAGGCATCCACATATTCCGTAAAATCTCTTCATCAAGTTTGCACCCTAAAATATCCATAAGATGTAATAAATTGTTGAAATTGTCATTTGCTGTCTCTACTGATTCACTCAATTTAACTGGAATGGTTGATATCTGTTGATATGTTAGCCTCTAAGGCTTCCACGATACATGTAAATCTAGAACAAAGCCAAATTTCTAATGTATTAACTTGTTTTCAAAAGAATTCTCATAGATTCTATTGCCTGTCGGAGGTAGGTTGTCTGTAAAATTATCCATGAAGGACACTTCACTGGAGACGGACAAGCGTACGATTTTCGTTCTTGAGATTCGGTTTTCGAAGTGTGTTTGTAGTCATGGTTGTCACTGTTAAGTCGCTAATCGGTTTTGAGTCTCCTTTGAAATAAGTAGTTATTTTTACCTTCGTAACGGCCAGGCACTTCGATTATGATATACATTACGAGGTTATAATAGATCTGGACATGCTGATACGGTATTAATGTTAATGCCTATTCATTTACACATAATTAAATACCATAATAATGATTATTACTTGGGTGGAAGTGGCAGCGAAGACATTCAGCTCAACGGGGATCCTAGTAATCATCTTGCTTACAGGTATATATTTACATCCATGCATGGATAAAGCACTGAGTTTGGGCTATGCAACTAACTCCATAGGAGCAGTTGAACGCGCAGATGCACATTGACGAGACTATCATTGGTAATTTTTCCTTGACTCACTGTGCGATTACTGCCTTAGTTGAGAATCTAAGTACCAATTTAGCTACAAGGTTACTAGTCTGTGCGTGTATACGTTAAAACAAATGTTTAAACTTTCAAGGTGCACTTTATACTGGTTAGGGAATTAAATATCTGTAGCGGCAGGTAGTTCCCCAGAATTATTGTCCACAGCACTCATCAGTGAACATTGGATGCTAACCTTCACTGTTTAAGTCGACTTGTTAGCTGAAGGCTTACTGTCAAGCGTCCACGCCATTTAGCACACCGTCGTGTTACGTTCGTTCGTTCGTGCACGATCCCTGACTAGTTAAGCAGTCATCTCGCACTCCGATTTGGTCCGGAAATATACTTCGTAAATTGGACGATCAATTCTGGTGTCCTGCTTTGCCATTAGTCTGCGCGGAACGAATGCCAAAGAAGTTTATTGGTATAAGATCTTGCGTTAATACAAACCGTACTATCCATGAAAGTCAACTACCTTAACCATTAAATGTCATAGCGTAACAACAGAAGACAATGACCAGGCAACAGATAGTTCATTGAGAAAATGAGATATTCATAGAATTTTATGTACATTATTGTCAGTGGAGAAGCAACGTCTGCTTGTTGGTTGTTTTTTTTTTTTTGATGAAGGTTATTCTGTACTGCTTGTGACAGTTTCTTAGAAAGTTCAGCTATATATCTGTGAATCATATTTGCACACGTTAAGTCAGCTGTGATTGGTTGATGAGTTACTCACGGTTAAGCATCGCTTATGGTTTTTCTCATAACCTCGATTCGGGACGTAAACACTGACGTAAATTGTTGTCTACAGTTTTGGCTTGCAGACAGCTCTCAAAACAATAGTAATAAGTATTTTTCCAGAGCAATTTAACGAATACATGCCGACTGACCTTGATCCAATATTTTGCCTCAACTTATATCACAATACGTACAATTTCTGGTATCTAATATACAAGTATGTTATCTTGGCTAGTGACGTCCTCATCGTAATTTATATTATACGGTCGCGGACCAACATGTCTCTCATTTTTTCTTTGGAAAAGGTTTATGCTTCCCATTCCTAACCGATAATTCGTACTGTCATGAATAATTATTGAAATTAAGGCGACAATTAATTGTCACTATAATTTGGCTTAAGAAATTACAATTTCATAACGTGAGTGATTCTGCTGGTTACAAAAATTTAACTTTTTCTTCTGGAGTGGTCTAGTTCTATTTGTTCGGATGCTGCGGCAACAAAGTTCCACATAATCATATTTTCAGAGAAGTTACACGTCTAACTTTTTTACTCAGATTCCGTTAATACTGAAAATTTAGTAACTGATTATGATGTAACAGACAGGTATATTGTATTATTGGCTGGATGACGTTTCAAGAGCAATTCATCGCTCATCACCATATCACTGCTTCGCTATATTCTGGTTTTCTGTTTCAATCTTC